TATATATCCAAAATTGAACAAGATACTATTTATCTACGTTAGAGAGGAAACAAGTGTTCGTTCGCTTCTCTGTTAATTAGTTAAATACAAGAGCAAGACCACGCGTCAGACAGCTTGAAGGCTAAAAAAGTAACAAGCAGGAGACAGTGAGTAATAACTTGGTCTACACTCGGAAAAATGTAACATCAGAACGATTCAGGTCGTCCAGAATGAATATATAGATAAATGTATTGTATATAATATAATAGAGAAAGAGTGTGTGGTTGAATACAATAAAATCGGTCATCAGAAATTCGATGAGAGAGAAGAGTGAAAATAATAGGGAGAACGTTTTGTGCCTTTCTAGAAACTATGCGTGTAATGTACAAATACAAACCATCAAACGATCGCTACCACGATCTACTTAGAAGGTGTCTAAAATTAAAGTACGAGTTCTTTTAATTTCTTGTTTTTTTTTTCTTGCTTCCTTTTTCTGAGTGTAGCCTACTACTTGCTGATTGGCGAGCACTTTGATCGTTTCACACACTGAAATAGTACTTTGTCCATTTTTGGTTCAGTGTTTGTCAATCCTGTCGTGTTTCTCGTTCGTGGCGAGGAAGCCACAGAGTGTTTCCGTGTGTTCTTTGGGAGTTTGTCAGTGTGTTTCGTCTCATGCACGCGCACAATTGCTCGAACGTTAACGCGGCCCGTTACTATGATAACCAAGCGGACGTAATGCGACGTATCAAGCTTGGTCAGAGCTATTAATCAAGCTCGATTCATCTCGTTAATGAGTAAGTGTCCGTGGCTAGCCGCAAACCTAATTCGTATCGCACATCTGTATCGCTTAAATATGTATATTTCACGTAGATATCTGTAAACCTATTATTTAGCCGAGGTAAATTTCGTTCGAATGAAGGTATGCAATTTTTTAACTACAGCTCGCGGACAAAATACACACGCTTGGCTATTCGGTACCGAATTGGTCAAATCTGCGTATCATATTTTATTCATGCCAAAGTTCGGAACGGCGCGGCGGCCGAATACGATCTCCGACTGTTTGCAGATCGGGCAACGTATGACAGACCCACTGTTATGTATTTTGGTTTTACAGTAAGATAAAATCAACACCGATCTCGATACACGGGACGAAAAAATAAAAATAAAAACGACAACGCAAATAAAAGTAAAATGGAGAACCGGACGTAAAAGCTTAGCGGTTGACCTATAAATACATAAATGAAAAAAGCAGTATTTGCCCAAGAAATAAATATTTATTTCAGTCAAAGAACCAGAGACGCTAGTTGTAACTTCGCAAATTCAATTCGCATTTTATTGATTCTCGCAGCGAGCGAAGAGGGCCCTGGGCTGATAATGAACGGTCGCGAGACGATTGTTTATCTTTTTCTTTTTGATTAAAATTTTGCCGATTGGCGTTAGACTAGTCGTGCCAAGAAATTGGACATCGACCCGAGTGGCAAGGAGCGCTCGGATGGTCGATGGCCTGATCGTAATCGTGTTACACGATTGTCGTGGCCGTTCCAGGCGTTCTCGCGAAACGAAGAGCAGATCAAAGGAGCACACAGCTCGAGGCGATGCAGTTCTGTGCACGGCAACCCGAACTAATTTCATCGACGAAGCGCCAATCGGTCCTCCTCGACACGTACAGAGCCGGCGAGCCAGGCGCTTCGTCCCGTCCGACTACACTCCACCTTTTCCCTCTCTGCGACGGAACTAGATTAAACCTGCGAATTTCCTGCGGTCCAACTGCAATTAATCGATTATCTCGTCGCGCGTCGATTGATCACAGCATTATTACGTGATCCGATTACGGCTCAGGGGGAAGCTAGTGTCTAACCATTTTCACTTATGTGTTTACATCTATCTGAATAAGCATTAATTTAATATCCATATAACATCATATCAGCTTGAAGATTTCGTACGTAGTAATTTTAGTTTAAATATTTTCTGAAATTTAGAGGGAAAGGGTTAAATCCGTCAGGCATGACGTACTCTCATTGTTTGCAGAACCTCTGGCAATATTCAAATTGCAATACAACCGCCGAGACAAGGAATTGTTTTCGCGATTGTATAGAAAGATATCCGCGGCAGTACATGGTTCCATCTTTGGCAAATATTATGGCGACAGGGAACGAGATAAGTAAAGCTTCAGGGGAGAATCTATGCATTCCTGTGCGCGTGCATGCAATCCAGTGTGAGTGTCTGTGTGCATTTCGTGTGGCGTTTTCTGATACCTTTGTTGTTTGTCTGTTTATTGTACGTGTGTATACGTGTACTTATAAATATGACTTGTTGTTTGTATGCACATGAGAGACTGTGAGACGCAACGATTGTCGGTAACCGTTTCTGTTTAAATACACGGGCACTAAAGAGAGAAGTGGTTGCTCGGGCAAAAATGGGGGGCGGGCAGGGGGTCGGGGGATGTTTTAGTCGAATTGATCGGAATGATTAGTATAATCGATTTTCAGCGTAATGACTGAGTAAGACCTAGAGGTATAGTACCATTTTCACTTCGGATAGCGAGCTGATACTCAAGACGTACATGGTGACGCCCACCTCGACAGGAGGACCTGAAATCGAAGGTTAGTCAGACTGAGTCGGCCGTTTCCGGCCGCGGACAAGTTACACGATGGGGTGACTATGGCATTTTTTTTTTTTTTTTTTTTTTTTTGTTCACTGATCGTTAAATTATCATTCTCATTTGTAATGTCTAAATACGTATATTTGTACAGTATACATTTTCTTTTATTTTATTTTTTGCTTTCCTTTCGTGAACTTTTTTTTTTTTTATTGTGAGTGTGGAATGTCATGGGTATTGAGTAGTATCGCTACGTCGGATGGATCGCTGAAAGTGGTAATTACTCTCGATTAGAGGACCACCAGGATCATCGTTTCTCGATTACGTGTGCTTGGTTATCTTTTTAGAAGCTCTTCGGTCGCGGCGCTGAAACGTAGATACAATCCCGACGTCTTTTGTGAGCGTCTTAATTGCATCCGTAGAAAGGAAAGATTTTCTGATTGAAAGACTCGATTGTCGGCGGCAGTTCGTGTACAAACACAATCTCCTGCCAATCCTTTCCTTCTTTGCACCAGAAGTCTAACAAGTCTAGGATTGTTTACACATCTTGTTTCCATCGTCGATACGGGTTTAAATCTGATTCCTCGGAATAATAATGCCGTCTACTTAGTTCGCAAATAAACTCGATTAGAATAACGATTGAAGAAGAAATTGGAGCTGGGAATAACAGCAGTTTCTCCGTTTCGCGCCTGAGAATTTCGCCAGAATCGAAGGGAGTCTGTCATTGTTGGGAAAGTTCGAAGGAGTGAAGTGAAAAATAAGATGGGGAGAAGCGCGGGGGCCAGGCAGGCAGGCAGGCAGGCAGGCAGGTATTCTCACGATAAAGTTGACTCGTAAACAACGGCTGTGCCAGCACTGCCAGCAGCAGCGGCAGCGTTACGCGTTACTCCACCCGATATATCTTCATTTCCATTTTCTGGGATGTTTTTAAACCCTATAGCCACCGAGCGTCCCATGTGGGACACATATTTCACAATGACGGGTCGGCGTATACGTTGCAAAACGCAATGAACGAATGCGGTGTATCGAGTTAATTGAAACGCGTTGGTATGGCTTACCTCCCCAAGCCAATCGCCCATGAGAACGTGTTCCCAGCAAAAAAACAACGAAAAAAACAAGCAAAAACGAGGAAGAGAGAGAGAGAGAGAGAGAGAGAGACGGGAAAAATGAAAAAAATGTTCAACCATCGGTTGAAACATTTCCGACGAAAAATATCGATCCCACCGACGACGCGACGCTGCTTCTATTTTGCCGTTTTATAAATGCAGAGTGTCTTTCATTTGAATCTATGAATGCAATTATTTCTCGTTATTTGAAGACAATCGTTCCCTTTTTAAATGGGAGCAGTTAATTGCGTGCATAAGATCGAATGCTCATTTTTCTTCCATCTGTTTTTACCTAATTGAAATTCTACTTCCAATCCAACATTTATTTTTAATTATACGCAATATATTTTGTAAACGATTCTCCACTATTTTTGTTTCTTTCATATATTGCAATATTCCATGCCATTCTTTAATTTGTATCTCGAGGTACATAATCGATTATCACCTCGTGCATAGTTCTTTTTTCGTCCGCCCTGTTGCCCGTTATCTTTCATTAATCGCGCGTTGCACCTGGGTATTTTATCCTTATTAAAACAGCGCGCCGCGGAAGCGAGTATTTCCGGAACCGATACACCCTTTTATCGAAGACACTTGCGTCGCGCGTCGCAACATTGTTCCAGCTAACAACGAGTCTTTACGCCCTCCATCGATCAGCAGTTTAACGAACACTCGAGGGCGCATCGTTGCACCGGAGTCCTTGAACTATATTGAATTACGTAGCCACTCATCGATCGAATTGTTTGCCCGGTAATATACACAACCCTTGCGGCGACGTTTAAGAAGACCGAGCGGGAAACCGCCAAGCGTCGTGCTTCCCCGTCGCGTATTTTGTCATTTTGCGTAGACTTTGACCCAGGAAAAGAGACGAGACAGAAGGAGGGAAAACCGCGCACATAGAAAATCCGCTGGTCCTTCAGAGAATATCGAATGAAGGACAGGCTAGTCGAAACCACGACAAGTACTGTTTATCCCGGAGCCGCAGGATGCAGGAATATCCCCGTTCGCCTGTCCGTAATGTCCGAGGAAAGTGCGGGAGCCATCTAAATTTTAAATGTTAAAACCGTCCGTATTCCACGGAACCCAGTAAATCCAGGGCTGTCCCGAGGCTCGAGCCGGCTCCGTCAAACGAGCACGGGGAGTACGGCGACGACGACGATTCGCCGGGCAAGCCGATACGACTATGTATGTATTCGGTTAGGCGGCACGGCCGGTTAGTGTGCGGCTTTAGCGTGCGCGCTAAAAATAAGAGGTGGCCATTGAAAATTCTACCCGAGGATTTATAGGCATTTTTGCAGGACCGGCGATAAATTCGAGACGCGGAGTATAATGCATTCTATTGGGCACGGAATATCGAGGAGCGAAGGAAGGAGCGAAAAAGGAAAGACTGGAACAGGCTTTTCCGGGGATGAAATTCCCCGATCGGCCTTTTATTTACGCCGACGCTTGTTTGGTATTTCGTTGGTATTTCACGTGCAGCAGCTCGATCACCACGACACTGCTTGGAGCCTTGCATCTTCTTTTTTCGACGTCGCACTTTATTCGGGGAAAGCGCGTATCAACGAAAACGTACCTGCCTGCCTCGAATATTCAACGAGGAATCGAGATCGCGAAGGAGTCTGCGAGCAGTTCTAAAAGTAGCCCAGAATACGAAGAAAATCGATCAGTCTCCACTGAACGAGAGCGAGAGCGAGAGAGAGAGACAGACAGAGATGAAAATAGGGAGGAAGAGAGAGAGAGAGAGAACTGATAGGGAGCTGTTTTCACGGAGTAATTCGCGCGGTCGGCACACTTTTCGGGGTCTCGAATTCCCCGGCATTGTCTCCCGCGGGAAAAGAGCAAGAAACCGCAGTTGTGGCGTGCCTCCGCGGGTCACTGTGACTCGGGGCCAGCGTCAGGAGTCGCTCTTGGAACTGTCCCAGCACGGGATCAGGCCGGGAATGAAAATGAATGTGCACGTTCGAGCCGGTGGCGAATGAGGAAAGCGTGCCCGCTGTTTACCGTTTCTTCCTTTTACTCTGGACACGTTCACGGGTGAATCTATCGAAAATTTCCGCCAGAGTTACCTCCAACGATCTCCAAGCTAGCCAAAATGCATTCTTCTACTTTTACTCCATTTATTCGGCCGAAATTGTTGAATGCATACGTTTATTGCATGCCTGTGACAGTAGCAGATTATTCGTACGCTCTCGCGATCATTGGAGCAACTAACACGCGTGGAGATCTGATTCGTTTAACAGACAGCGATTAAGACAATGAGGCTGTTGTAACTAACTAGCGGAAGCCTTAGTTCTAAGTGGAACTTGATTGCTTCGTGACTGAATTAATCTTGGTTGACCAGCGTTTGGTTGACTAACTCGAGTGTTAGCTGATTGATTGATTTGAATACTGATTGAATCGCGATCCCATTGAATCGATTTCTAATGAGAAGTCTAATTACTTTTCATTTCGGCCGAGCTAATCGATTACGAGTTCATTAACCGTCCCTGTTGACCGATGGACCACGACGGAAATTCTTCTCATTTCTTCTTATTAATTAATCTTCAGCTTGAAATTTGATACGTGCTAGGATATTAACTAAGAAAGATGACTAGGAGATTAACCTAAGGGAAACCTTGGCTGCCTGATAACAAGAACTCTTGAACGGAGCACGAGCGAGAATTGACGGGGAAGACAGCCGGCTGACGAAGTCAACATCGAATTTGTAATCGAAGAACACTGTGGCTTGGTGTGGCTGAAGCGGAGATGCCATGTCGTTAACGGTAACCCGTGGCAACCCGTGCTGCGTCCCAGCATCGATCCAAGTTTTATCGAAGCGCTCCAGCCCCGCCCTTCCTCCACGGAGCCGGCCGAAAATTTGACTTTATCGTGAGAATCGGAAACGATCGATTCGCCTTTATGCGACTACGATCCGTCCCAGGCGTAAACAAATTTTAGCTATGCATCCGGTATCTATTTCGGACGTCAGCTGGCATCTATCGTCTCTACGAAGCGACGGCATGTACAACTTTCTTCCCGAGACAATCTACGAAGAACCGAAAACAATCGATGGAACACGGAATACAAACAACCTATCGCCTCGTATCTTCCTCCGAGTCCGTCGTTGAGGTAATCGAACCGTTCCTACGTGGATTCTATCTAAACCCGTCGAACAGTAAAATGCACGGGGACGTTCATCTCCGCGAAATAAGCCTCACGATTATCAAAGAACGATCGACATTGTTCACCAGTTAAAACGACGAATGACGAAAACCGGTGATTTACTCTTTGGTCTGTCGGGATCGAAGCGGACAACGAAGAAGAACTGTATTTTTCATTCCCCCGCTTGTCCCCGGCTTGGGAGCTTTTTCACCGCACGGCAAAGTACACGCCCACGAGCTTGCACCCCATTGTCCCGAATATTCTTTTCTGTATCGTCCGCGACGAAAGAATAAGCGGCGTCAAAAATATTTCCCGGAGCGTTTCTCCGTTTTCCCCCCCGCGCGTCGCCGTCGTGCTTTCATCCCTTTGTCGCCGTACCGATCAACGTTTTCCGGACCGTGTTCGTTCATTATCCCCGACGTGTTTTTTTTTTTTTTTTTCTTTTGCGAACTCGGTCGGTCCCTCTTCGTGCTCCACCTGTTAAAAATGTCCCCGTAATTCCCGAATCGATGCCAACCTAATCCCCCTCGTTTCCCACCGTTGCGAGTTCTCTGGTGTTTGTTTCCTTTCCGTTTGTTACCAAAGCCACGTTTCAGCGCCGCTACCCATCCGCTTTCGTGTCGCGAATTCCATTCGGTTCGAGTCCAAGCACACGTCGCAATCTTCTTTCGATGCTTGCGGCGAACGAAGCCGCCGTCCCTAGCCCGAAAGCGTAGCCAGTTTCAGCTTGCGAACTTCGAATTTATTTAATCGCACAGTTTCCAAGCGGCTCCGTTCGCTGCGGAACAGACTCCCGATACGCCCAGTCCGTGCAACGACTATTCGGATATGCGACGAGTAAGCAGGTATATATGCGAAGGTAATCGAACATCGTAGGCAAAACCAGACTCTACACGCCGATCTTCAACCTGGTTACGATTGTATATACATATTTACACATTACGCATAATACACGGTTGGACGTTAGCCCGGTCGGTTATCATGGTGGCTGCGGTTTTGCGCACGACATGTCGACCCTACCACAGAGATGTGGTCGAATGATCAGACTATCGATAGGCAGGAGATAAAAGAAAGACGTCGTATCCCATACTCACCTCCGTAGTTCGGCCTTACTCTTTTATCGTAACTGACGGAGAACGAGTCCAATATCGCGGAGATGTTGACGTCGTTCAGCATACTGCCTCCGCCGGTTCTGCAATATAAAAAGGATTACGATTCCTGAGAAAACTTCGGCTAAAACGAAAACGGTAAAAAAGTTCCGCGTTCGGGGCGTGGAGAGGCGAGGGGTTTACGAAATTGACGGGCTGGCGTGGCGTGTACACAAACTCGTAGAGAATACTTTTAATATGACTGACGTGCCGCGAGTTACGATACAAGACTACACGGAGCAGAGGGCTGGGGAGGGGGGTTAAGGCGAATATAGCAAAGGGGTACGTAGTACAAAGTCCGGCGTTTAAGCTACGCCCGTGGATATTAAAGTTTCATCCGTTATGGCGAAGTTTAAAAAAGAATTTTAGAGCCCCTCTGTACGCGTACTTCTCGCGTGTACTGCGTTTTAATTATGAAAGAGTGATGCGACTATAAATTTAGGACAGCGAGTTCCTTCTATCTCTATCGTTGTCTGTAATTTTTTTTTTTTTCCCCCGCTTCTTTACCTCTCCTCCTCGTTCCCCTTTCTATACGGTGGAACGAGCATTAGCAGTGCCTCCAGCTGTTTATTTTTCGTTTATTCCTTTCATTTTTATTTTTCGCTCTAAACGCTCGAATTTTTATGCATCAACGAGGAACTGTTTAGTCCCGCGAACTGTGTCTTTATGTAACACTAAACGAGATTGTGTGCGCCGAGCAAACGTGTGTACGCCGCGATTCGCGTGCCGTGTCCACCGCGTTCCCACGGGTAAACGAAAAATATGCTTTTGACGCGAGCAAGCGGCCGACGCGCGTTTAAATGATCAATGAGGTGAAAAAAGGCAAGAGATAATTATATTTCAGAGCCGATGTGCAAACGAAGTTTGTCGTTGAAATATTACGCGCCGCCCGTATATTTCGTTCAACAACGTATAATACCTGAAACGAGCTCGTAAACCATGCTGCATTTTTTTTTTTTCGCTCCGCGAGAAAACAAATTAAATGAATGCCGATACGTCGATAAATTTTTCGAAGTTCCCAGTGTCCATACTGTCCATGGAATGTAGCGTTAGACTCTATTCATTGCTCGATAGCGTGGATCGTTTAAATGGTAGGTAGGTAACCTAATTAGCGCGAGAAGAAAGGAGTCGACTCGAATTTAATCTCGACGATTAAATTTCATCTATACGACGCTTTCATTTTCTACCAATAATTATTTTTAAAAGCGCATTACAAAAGAACCAGGAAAATAGATACCTATCTCTTCAGTATCCAACGCTTAATAGCTTTTTAATACCCGAGGCTTCTCCAATAGCGGATATAATTTATCGTCCCTCTCTTATCTTACATTTCCCAGAGATTTCCCCGGGAGAGGACCGGAGGAGAGTCATTGTAACAGTTTGTGTAACGTATCCGAGCACGAACCAACTTATATGCAAGGTTAGACGCGTAAAATGCAGAGCGCCTGGGTTTGACTTAACGGGTCAGCAGATATGGGCTCAACGAGCCAATCAACCAGCCACGAATCTACAAATCTCTCTCTCTCTCTCTCTCGCTTTCTCTTATTCTGATCCAATTTCTACGACACTTAACAGAAGAACTTGTACTGTTAACGGGAATCTTTTGAAACCAATAACCAAGGATTTTGTACTTATAACTAACTAGCTTCTTCTGTTACGATTCGTTTCTTCCAATTTTATTAAAAATATTTAATAAAAGTCAACAAAGAATTCACAGTACGTTAAACAATTATGTAGTATAACAGAAAAATTGGAAAATATTAAATTCACTAATTGTATTTAATGCTTAAAATGGTTTACAAATATTTATCTATAAAATAGACATATTCCCTTTAATTATTTAATAAAGAGCAATAATTATATATCAAACATATTTTTTTTTAATCAGAAGTGGAAACGTAAAAGTAGACGATTTTTATATACCAGGAATTCTTTTTGTATTCGCACGTTGCATAAAAATTGTGCAGTTGAAGTTGATTGAGGCAATGTGGCCGTGATCTTTGTCAGAAAGGCAGTGCGATCGAGATACAGCAGTGAAATGAATGGACCTTACGCGTGATAAAGTTAACTGACTGATGCGACAATAGCGGCTGCCGCTGAGGTTTTACACAGGCCTCAATTATCGCGGATCTGTACTACTGTGGAAATTCGAGCGACCTTCCCTCTACTGTTAATCGATGCCTACCTCTCGATTGCAGCTTGTGTGATCATTGTGATTGTATACAGAACGTATTTTAATTTAGATTCACGTTCACAACATTTCTTGCTTCCATTTAAATAAATAGCCAATTTGTTTTAACTTATTTTTTAACAGCATTAAATTGTGCGTGTCATATTAATAGTGATGACAATTATTATTGTAATTATGTACTTTATAATTGATGTACTAAAGCTGCGTTTTAATGTTTTTAATGTTTATGAATAATTTTGATAGTTGACAAATTCGATATTCATATTATTTGCGAGGCTAATATCGATGACTCATGAATTTTAAATTTGCTAATTCGGAACCATAGGAGAGAGAGAGGACTCTGATTGATTCGAAGGCTGCTGGAATTTTGGTGAGTTTCGAGAGTTTCTAGCGATTCCGAAGTTTCACGTGGCATTAGGGTGTTTCAGGATTCCTAGATGTCCCCGAGGGATGTAGGGTTTCCAGAGGTCCTAAAGGTATCAGTGAGGTTCCCGATGCTTTTGACAGTTGGGGAAATTTTGGGGGCAAGGGGAGGGGGGGTATTTCAATTATATCCGTGGTTTCAGGAAGCTCTAGGGATCCGAGAAGTTTCGCAAGATTTTAGAAACCTTTCGAAGCTCTCAGCATGGGCCCGTTAGAATCTGCCAATCTTTGCAAACCATTAACGCTATCATAGTTCTTCACTGTCATTTATTTGAAACTCCAATATGTCTAAACTGCATTGAAGTTACTATTTATACCTGCTGATTTACATATTTCTTAATGTCACTGTCTAATTGCAAGTACTGCTATTTTCAAGAATCTTCTATTTTTTAAATGTATGCATCCCAGCTCATAAATCTTACTGCAATTTGTTACATGTTTATAGTACAATTCATTATATTGTAATATATTTTTTTATTACATATAATGACTTAAAATAATCTATGGAGAATTACTGACTTGCCATTCTTGATAGACAAGCATTTGGAAGTGCTATGAGCCTTCGAATAGAAGGGACAGAACTAAACTAGATTTATGAAAGCTAATAACTTCCCCTGAACCGTGCACGTCTGCACGATAAGTTCTATGAAAACGGTTATCGGACAGTTCGTGGATGTTCTTTTCAAGTTTCTGATTTAGTCGGACCATCCATCCATGGCGTATCCAGGTTATCTTGTAAAAATGTCCACATTCATCATTTCCTTGTGACGTTCTATATGTGGAACTTTTCGATTAAATAAGGGAAGATAACAGTTGACGGTGCCATGCGAGGGTCGATGGCCACCATTGCAAGTACCTATCCTTAAACTTCAACTGTTCCTTATTACCTCAACTGAATAAGTTCCTGGCAAAATCAATTAAACCCTTTCGTTTGAAAAATTCGTGCCTTATGTATCCCTAGGTCGTTTCCCGCCGCTTTCTATGCTTATCGCAAACTTTGCATGTTCTCGTTGGACATGAGATTATGATCACAAGTCGTAATATCCACGTTTGGCATGAAATTCTGATCACGAGTCAGGCTCGTTAAAGAACAAAAGATTAATGACTCGAAGAAATATTGAAAAAATAAATAGTTTTTAATTTATTTACTCAAAGGAAGATCGATTTCCTATATAAAATTCACAAAAACAACACGAAATAAATCTCTTTGCAGCGAATGTGTCGAATTACAGTAAGAAACCAAGGGGGGAAAAAGCAATGGCCGACGAATCCTCGGAGCGTACGTATTACGTACTTACGTACCCGCACGTGGTGTACGGAGAGGGCGATTTATCGAACAGCTCCCAGAACCCGCTGTGAACTAAATCTTGCGCAACGATATCTACGAAGAACTTAGCAGCGAGCTGCGATAATAGGTCAGAGGTTAGACGTATCGATTAGACGCAGATATCCGGTCTCTGAACAAGGGTGTGAATACTAGCGACTGTAGGACGTTGGATAGGGACTGTACGATCACGCGGATGGTCCGCGTTCGAACGCAGGCATATAAATCCGTTCCATGGGATAATGGTAAAAGCCTCGAACCATTTATGTATATTAAATTACGAGAGACGGTACAATTTCGGTGGCCTCGCAAGCGTTGATGCGTTTCCACTAATGAATATTTCCCGCGTAGGGAACACAAATACGTACGTATGTACATACATACGACGTACTATGTATGAATCGTAATTAATGCGAAAACGTATTTCGGAACCCTGTAACACAACTGCGCGCTTGTAATCGCCGCCGATTGACTGTGTATGCTCGGTAGAATGGAGTTACGAATAATGTTCTCTCGTTAGTATCGAAATTATGAGGAAAGAATGGTCGCCAGGGTGGGGTTAAACGGCACGGTTGGAGGCGACGTTAATTGCGCGGAAAGTGGAATCGCGTATTCCAAAGTGCCGTAAACTTCGGGCCACGGTAAATTCCGATGGATTAAACGCGCTACGGTACGGAGTTCGCGGCGCGACGCGGAGTCACGTGTGATTAATTCGCCCGCGACACCGTGCCGGAAAGTTTTCTCTTCGTATATAAAACGTCGCCGCCACCACCGCCGCCTCGCACATATTTCGTTCGGCCTGCCAGCGAGTCACGGCGGAGATATTTTATCACCAAGGAAAATATCATCCACGCCTAGGGCCCAGCGGTCGTTATTCAAATTCCGTCGACACACCTTTGACGACCTTCAGCCAGCCGACGATTTCTTCTTATTCTTCTTTTTTTTTTTTTTCTTCTTCTTCTTCTTTCGCTGCCCATCGACGCGACGACGTTTCTCGCTTAAGAGGCAGGCAGACGCCTACTCCTTTAATCAACTTCAACTCGAGCGATCCGTAGTCTCTCGTTGTTAACGGAGAGACGGGAAAGGGCAGAGTGTCCTCGACGGAT